GAGTCAGGGCCCATGTGGCGGAAGTGGGGGTCTCATGTCTTTCTGAGGATGGGGAAGGCATCACAGAGAGCCCAGGTAGGGGAGGAGTGAGGATAAGGATGAGCTGCCCCCCCCCCCCCATATAAACCTACTCCTGTGTTGGTGAAGGATCCTGGCTCTGGGAAGTCTGTCTGCTAAGGGCTCACAGTGTCCACTAGGGGCTCACAGTGTCCGCTAAGGGCTCACAGTGTCTGCTAGGGGCTCACAGTGTCCGCTAAGGGCTCACAGTGTCCGCTAGGGGCTCACAGTGTCCACTAAGGGCTCACAGTGTCTGCTAAGGGCTCACAGTGTCTGCTAGGGGCTCACAGTGTCTCCTCAGGACGCAGTCTATGTCTGCAAAGGGGGAAGGGCTTCTGCAGCTCTGTGGCCTGAGCAGCAGCTGGAATCTAACATTACATTCTCACGGGCAAGGGGCTTCACCCAGACTCTGGTGTGCCAGGGCTCTCTTCTTCCTGTGTCCACATAATTCCTCTGTGGTTCTCTTCTGATTCCCTTCTGGGTTCTTAAACCTATGATATGGACAGGTTTTGAGTTTATGGCTGCCCAGGGAAGTTCGGGGTCACATGGCTGGGGACTGGAGGCCTCCGTCAGGAGTCTGGGTGGCACCCATGGAGTTTCTGGATTCTTGTGCCTCTTTCCAACAAATCATACATGATAGTTACAGGGAAGGGGACAGTTCACTAAAGGAGAGATGCAGAGGAGCCTGGAGATGTACCGGGTCTAGCTCCAAGAGAGTGGGCAAGAGGAAGAGGGGGATGAGGCTGCGTGACCTGCTGCATGCTGTTTACTTAGCTCCTGCCTCTCGAAAATTAATGTAATGTGAGCTTCACTGAGCATGCTTTCTCGGCTGAATGAAGTCCAGGTGGGCTAAAGGCTTCCAGTCTCCCCTGATGGCACCTGTCCCGTGTTAAGCCACGGAATCCCCTCTATCCACTTTCCTGTCTCACCCCCACCTCTGTTTCAAAAGTGCTCTATAGTCTGTAGTTGCCCAGCCTGTGGTGGGAGCCTGGCATGGTATTAGATGCCTGAGAGTGTTAACTCTGTTAATGTTGCCAAAAAGTAAATGGCAAGAGACGGGGACAGACGGGACATTAGGGGCTCAGAGGCTGACCCACACGAGGCTGTGTGGAGGGGTTCGTGGACGGAGAGAGAATGGGCCCCACTCCTGAGCCTTGGTAGATGTTAATACTGAGGAAGGCAAGCTTAGGAATATCTTAGCAACCTAGAACTCCCCTTGGCTTGGGCTGTGCACGTGCACCTAGCAACCTAGTACTCTCACCTGCGTGGAGCTGCATCCCTTGCACCCCACTTTACACAGTGGGATTATTCTCTCCTCCCCTGGCAACTCTTGATGACCTCCCATTTGCAGTCACGTTTCATTCAAACACAGTTCATGACGCAGCTGAGTATGGGAGACAAGGGGCTGGTTGGGCTGGAACTAGTTTTGAGTGTATGTGCAGCATGGCAAACTGTGTCTTGGAAATGAACTTTTAGGGGGAAATTCCTAATTTACCATTGTCAATGTTTAAAACACAACTGTTACCCCAAAGGAGATAAGAGATAGTTTATTCTGGAGGGAGTGACCATGGCCAGGGAATAGGTTCAGGCTTCCACTGTGGTAACTGTTTCATAGTAACAGAAAGTAGAAAGTTGTAAATCAAGACACTTTTCAAAAACCCTGGTGGAAATATTGAGTAGGCGATTACAGCAGACCTTGGCTATAGGCCTCGGAGTCTACCTGGTGGCGTTATTAGTCTTTTGCTTGGTGAAAACTAGGGTTTTATCAAGTTAAAAAACAAACAAACAAACAAACAACAACAACAACAAACCATTATGCATGTAAAGTCTCAAGGTTGATGCCTCTTTGCTGTTACCTGGCAGCTACTCTAGGGCTCTCCTGTGTCCACCTCCTGAGGCTGGAATCACAGGCGGGCTGCCGTCTACCCAGCATTTGCGTGGGTTTCTGGAGATCTGAACTCTAGTCCTCACATCTGCTTCAAAAGCTCCGCAACCCCCGACTATCTCCCCAGTCCCTGCTCTGACTCTTCATGAAATTATGTGGCTCCGTATGCCTGGTAGACCAGAGTTGAGTTCACGAAGGTCATCTTGGAGAAGTTTACGTGTTAATTCCCGGCAGTCGCCACAGAGGTGGGGAAGCTGAGGTGGGTGTGGTCTCGTGACCACGGTCCCTGTGCTCTCCTCATGGGAGGCCCCAGTGTGCAGATGTGCCTCATTCTGGAAGATACAGCGATCCTCACTGTGCCACCTCTTGCTCTCTCATTCTCTCCCGCCCTCCTGCTTTCCTAGCACTGGCCTTGTCCAGTCTGCTGGCCACGTTCAGTCTGCTTTTTGCTCTGTGCTCTGGACTCTTCCAGATGCCTCTAGATATGTCTTCTCTGTTTCACCTACGATGAAACCCTTCCCCTAACCAGACCGTGGAGCAGTCATGCTGGCGGTTTCTTTACTGCGCCCCCTCGCATACGATAAGCAGCCAGTGTGTCCGTCGCCTTGGCAATGTGCCACAGAACCGAGCACACTACCAGGCCTCACTCCACTTATCCTGCACTTAATTATTTAAATCTACTCCATTAGTGGTTCTATATTTAATTTTTTAGAAAAACATTGAATGAATTATTAGCCTGTTAATAAATAATAAAGTGTAACAGCTGTTAATGAGCATTCAAAATGGATAATTTACTGCATTCCGTGACACAATACCAATATTTACCCATGAAGGGGAAAAGTTGTACCTGCAAGAAACTTCCCACCTTTGACCCATTCTCATTTCTGAGCAAGCATGAACCGTTAGTCTCTGACGCGGAGGTAACAAGAGGCGATGGGGGAGAGTTTCCCTGTGTGCTGTGGCCACATCCTGCTGTTCTTTTCTGCTCCTGTGCCTGTCCTTGCTCAGGTTTCCTTGTCCCTCCCTCTCTATGTGGGGGGAATGGAGAGCAGTCCCTGGCTGTGGCCACTGGACAAGCAGTGTCATAAGGTATTTGGGAAACTTCAACTGTCAAGTCAACACAGTCACCTGAGGGTGGAGACACAGTGAGGGATTGCCCACGTCAGACTGGCCTGTTGGGATGTCTTCGGAGCTTGTCTCAATTGTTGATGGATGCCGGAGGGCCCAGGACACTCTGGGCAGCTCTATTCCCTAGGCAGGTGGGCCTGGATTTTGTAAGAAAGCTAGGTAAGCATGAGTCAGCCAGAGAGCAGCATTCCTCTGTGTTTCTGCTTCAAGATCGTGCTTGAATTCCTGACCTTACTTCCCTCAATGATGGACTGTGAGCTGAAGCAAACGCTTTCCTTCTCTAAGCCTCTTTGGTCAGAATGTTTTATCACATCAACAGAATGAAACTGGAACAGAAGGCCAAGGGTAAATCCTTGTGGGCTAGCCTGGAGTATACTGCAGAGCAGACACAAGAGAGACCCTGCCTCAGTAAGGTGGGAGGTGAGAACCATCTCCCCAAAGTTTTCCTCTGACCTCCACATGTGCCCAAACCCCACCACCATAAAATAAATAAATAGGAATAAATAAGAAAATAAGTAACAGCGAGTTCTTCCTACCTCTCCCTTCTCTCTCTGTGTCTGGAGACATTGTTAATGGGGCCTCATGTAAAAGGCAAGGGAGAGCTGCACACTGAATAAGGAGGCAGCCGTGAAAACACTGTCACTTTTACTAGAAAGGGAGTATAAAAGGCACAAATAAAAATACCTTATTGTGTGATTTGAACATTAAATTTCATGGCCATGCCCCGCATGCTTTGTTACACAGACTGATATCTGCTGAGAGTGAGGCTCTGGCCGTCCCCACCTGTGTGTGATTTCTAAGAGCTTCTAGAACAACACGCAAACAGCTACACATGTCCATCTCGCTGTGCATGGCATGTGCTGCGGTGTGTGCTGTGTACACTGTGTGTACGTTTGGATGGAGACATGCATGTCCTAACTCAGTTTATCAGCCACTTAGCTGCCACTAATTAACATGTCTGCTGTGTTAGGTGTGAGTCTAAGAGGCCTGGGAAACGAAGGCATTCTAAAGCAGCACTGTGTCTCAGTCTTACTTTCCTGCTATTGAAACAATGGTCATTTCCCTAGGAATCTCACTGAGAGAAGGAAAGGCTGCCAGCCAGAGGGTGAGCTTGTCTCCCCGAAGGGGACTTCGCACAGTTCTAACAACATGTCAGAGCACTTTACAGGGTGAGACCGAAGCCCAGAGGATGATGGGCCAATGGTGGGCGGGACCACACTTTGACCAGTTCTGCTTAGATGTGCACATCCTTGCCCTTTACTTAAACTTTGATCTCACTTTAGAACCCTGAAGACAGACTTGAAGGGTTCGTTAGATATTTGTCCCCCTTCCCAATGTGGCCACATTGAATAAATCCTTTTTTGCTTTCCACTTTACTTTGCTCTTTTAACTGGCTTATTGTGACCAGCCCTGACATGGGACGCGGGTTGTGACTCCAAGTTTAATAACATGAGGATGTGCCCTGCAGGCGAAGTCTCTGTCTTCAGGAGAGAGCAAGAATATCTTCCAGCCAGCAAGCTCACGCTCATCAGGGAGAGGCCAAGGCGGGGGAGCAGATAGAGATTGTTGGGGTCTATACTACAGTAGGGTGAGCAGGAAGGCCTCCCTGAGGGGGCACACTGAAGTGGGTGTCTGAGAGGGATGAGGGGATGAAGGTCAAGGTTCATGGGTAGCTGATGGAGTAGTGATCTAGGAGTCAGGGAGAGTATGGCTCCTACTAAGCTGGGGACACCGGAATCTGCTGGAGCATCCAGGATGCTAAGTACACTTGTGTGCAGAAAAGTGGAGGACAAGGACTCATGTGTGCCCAATAACACCTCCCCAAACCAGAGGCCACAGAAACAGAATGTCAGCATGGAAGGGACTTCACAGATGCATTAGTCACTTTTCATATTCCTATGATAAGAATACCCGACAAGATGCTACTTACCAGCCAGTGAGGCGGCTTAGCTTTAGACTTCCTGGTTTAGGGGACACAGTCCATCATGGTGGAGCGTCAGTGGCAGGAACATGAGATGACTGGTCACATGACATCTGCGATCAGGAAGCAGAGAAATGAACGCTGGTGCTTAGCTCACTTTCTCCTTTTTGTTCAGTAGTCCAGGACCCCAGCCCATGAGATGGCTCCACCCACATTTAGTGTCTTTTCCACTTCAGTTAACCCAATCTAGAACTCCATGTGTCCAGAGGCTCATCTTTTCCATGATTCTAGATTCTGTCAAGCCACAACTGATGTCAGAGTCAAAGAGACAGTCAGTGAAGCCCTCTCATTTTCAGGGTGAGAGGCAGAATTTATTTTAGCTTAAATATCTTATTGCAAGCCTGCACTCTGGCCTTCCCACACCTCTCATTACCCATCCCCATTCCTTCATCACACTTCTCAGCCTGACTCATCCTCCCGGCCTTTCCTGACCCCTTTCCCCTCACCTCTGGCTTGAGACCCTGCTTCATCACTGTCACCTGCACGCTGAGGAGGGAGGCCTCAAGTCTCATGGAGAAGGAGATGGAGGAGCTGCTGTCCCACTGGAAAGGGACAGGGATGGGAAGTCTGAGGACAGTGGAGCAGCTTGGCCAGCTTTGCTGGAAGACACGATGTGGGGCACTGCCTGATGCTGGAGGGTCTCAGGCGCAAAGAGGGAGTGGACTATCTCACCTCTCCCTTCTCCCTGGGGTCTCAGCACCTTCTCCATTTAGGGACCAATTGTACCTGTTTGTACTGGTTGTTTTGTATGATAGGAAATCCAACTATGGAGCAGGCTAGTGACCTATTTAGATTAGTACTTGATTTTCTCTCACATGAAGATGTTGACAATCCATTCAAGAGGCTCTCTAGGTCCTCTCATGACCATAGGTTCTCTCACGACCATAGGTTTCCACGTCCATTGGCCCTCCCTCTGTAGGTCCTGCCCATGTTCATAGGTCCTCCCTATGTCTATAGGTGCTGCCCATGTCCATAGGTCCTCCTCATGTCCATAGGTCCTGCTCATGTCCATAGGTCCTGCTCATGTCCATAGGTCCTCCTCATGTCCATAGGTCCTGCTCATGTCCATAGGTCCTCCTCATGTCCATAGGTCCTCCTCATGTCCATAGGTCCTCCTCATGTCCATAGGTCCTCCTCATGTCCATAGGTCCTGCTCATGTCCATAGGTCCTCCTCATGTCCATAGGTTCTCCCTATGTCCATAGGTCCTGCTCATGTCCATAGGTCCTCCTCATGTCCATAGGTCCTCCCCATGTTCATAGGTCCTCCTCATGTCCATAATCCTCCTCATGTCCATAGGTTCTCCCTATGTCCATAGGTCCTCCTCATGTCCATAGGTCCTGCTCATGTCCATAGGTCCTGCTCATGTCCATAGGTCCTGCCCATGTCCTAGTCTCTGTCCATTTTTCTGTCCCTCAAGGTTACCACATGGCCTGGGATGGCTGCTCTCCCTCCCTGCGTCTAAACCTGACAGTCCAGACAGAGAGTAGAATGAACTGGGGAAGAGTAGAGTGCCCATTATTTGAGAGACTTCCTTTGAGATCTCTTTATCAGGGTCGCCCAGTGAGTCCCTTTTGTATTCTTTCTCAGCCCCTGCCCCCTACAAGGAAGACTGAGAAGTATTCATTTGCCTCTTTGTGGAGTTGGCAGATTTGCCTCTAAATAAAAAAAATGCCTCTGCTAGATCAGACACTGGACATGTGGTGCTAAGTCTCTGTCCCATATACAAAGACACAGACCACTTCCATTTGTCCCAGGCCCACTGGCTCTTGTGGAAGATGACAGAGAATGGGACACTCCTTGAAGTCATGGAGATGATTGCCTGAAAGAAACAGATTTCTGTTCACAGGCTTCTAATTTCTAGTTGGCATTTCTCTGAGAGTTGGAGTGGGTACCAGGCATGAAGAATGTAGACCAAGGTGGGGTCATTTTAAGGCAGTCTGCCCTGCACAATCTCCATGACATCTGTACATGAGTGCTCTGCTTCCTGAGCATGTTGTCCTGGCTCCTCTTTATATAATGAGGATGCTAATGTGTTGCATAAAGCTGCAGGGAAGAGGATGGAGGATACTAACATAAAATGCATAGTAAAATCCTTGGCGTGCGTGGGCTAGCAGATTGAGTAGTGGTTTATTATTGTTCTATAGAAGTAAGCATTTGTGCACATGTGCCCTATGAACACGTGTGTGCATGCATGTGTGCGTTTGCTTATAGCTAGGTGGCAGGCGAGGCAGGAGAGACTCTGGTAGGCTGCGTGTTCATATGGGGCTTTCATTCTCCATGGCCAGTGCCCTGTTCTATCACAGGACAGAGGAGGACAATGATGGGCAGGGCAGGGCAGTGACAGGTCCAGCTGTCACAGAATTGAGCTTCCATGGGAGGTGCTTTAACACTGAAAATTCCATGGTCCAATTTGGAGGGCAACAGGCAGAGAGAGAGAGGGGCGGGGGGGGGGGGGGACTGGGTTGCCAAGCAACAAGCCATTAACAGAAAATTAGTCGCTCATCTCCGAATGTCCTGTCCCATTTTCATTCCACCTCCCTTCTCCTCCTGCCAAACAGAAACACATACAGAGCCGTGGCTGAGGCTGCCAGGAAGCGTCTAGTGAGAGGAGTCACATGAAGGACATGCACCAGCTTGAGCAGGTAGCCAGGGGTAACTCCCTTCTGCGTCCCCATCCTTCCTGATTGCCTCCCATTGCCCACTAGTTTTCAGACAGACCTTTATCTTGAATCTCAGTAGTTCTTAGTCTGTGCTCACTTGTGTTCCTTGTCTCCTAGTCATGCACACTGGAGCATCTGGAGGGATACGTTTTCCCTCCAGCTGAGAGTTCCCTGAAAATGATGGTGACCACCCTTGAGAATGGTCTATCAAATCATACAGACCTCTCAAATCCCAGCTCCGCATGCCCTCTGGGGGGAGAGAGAAAGAGAGAGAGAGAGAGAGAGAGAGAGAGAGAGAGAGAGAGAGAGAGAGAGAGAGAGAAAGCGTGTGCACGCGCACAAGAGCGAGTGTGTGTAAGTGCATATGGAGGCCAAGGTCAACCTCAGAGGTCTCCCTCAATCACTCTCCACTTTGTGTTTTTGAGACAGGGTCTTCCACCGAACTTGAAGTCAGCTGATCTGGCTAGGTCAAGACTGGCCAGGAGGCCCCCAGGAACTTCTTGTCTCTCCAGCGTTAAAGTCCTAGGACACTTGGATGTGGACAAGGGTTTGTTAATTTGTTCGTTTTTTGACATGGGGACTGAGGATCCGAACTCAGGTCTTCATGCTTGCAAAGTACGCGCTGTACTGACTGACATCCCAATCTCCCTGGAACCCAATCCTGTTTTCTGTCTGGGCTTTCATGCTTCTGGAACAGACAGGGCTGTGTCTATTGGGGTGTGTATCATTTCCAACCCACTGGGAGGAACGGAGGGTGGAACAGACCTGGACTGGAGGCTCAGGCCTCAGGATCATTTTTTAAACCTTGGACCCACAGAAAAAGATGGCATGGGAGCCCTATTAGGTCACTTCATGTCTTTTTGGGGTGTCCCCTTTTCTAGATGTGTCTCATCTTGGTAGAGTGATACTTGGGGTCCTTAGAGATATGAACATGTCTGGGGAGAAAGCTGTCTCCCCGGGGTCACAATTCCTTGCCTGAGACAGACTTCCAGAAAGTTGACTTCAAATTCTGTGGACATTTTTAGACCATCCTCTGATGGGGAAATGTCTTTCTGTATGCTGTAAAAATATGTTGCTCTGATTAGTTGATAAATAAAGCTGTTCGGCCAATGGTGAATAAGGCAGAATAAGGTTGTGTGGGACATTCTAAAGAGAGAAAGAGGAAGGAAGAAGACAGAGCAGGGGAGATGCTGCTAGCCACCACCAGAAGAAGCAAGATGTAAAGGTACCAGTAAGTCATGAGCCCCATGACAAAATATAGATTTATAAAAATGGGTTAATTTAAGATATAAGAACTAGATAACAAGAAGCCTGCCATGGCCATAGTTTAAAAATAATATTATCCTGTATGTGTTTATTTGGGTTTGAGCGCTGCAGGACCAGCGGGTGAGAGAGATTTGTCCTGATCGTGGGCCAGGTGGAACACAGGAAAACTTTCAGCTACAATCCTCCCCTCCATGTGTCCACTGCCTGGGAATTGTACTCTCTAGTACAGTTGCCAGTCTAGACAGTTGTGGTGCTAGGCTGGCTCATCTGAGATCCCCCTCTATGAAGGTGACCATGGTCAGGGAAAGAAGCATGTATGTGCCAAGTGCCCAGTGGGATGCTGGGAAGAGTTTTAGAGACCCAGGATATGAGCAATTCACTGTATAATGGGTTGGGAGGAGTATCTGGGAGTGGGTGACATTGCAACTGGGCTTTGGAGTAGGAATAGAAGTTTGCCAGAGAGAAATGTTGGGGAAGGCATGGAGGAGAGGGCATTCTAAGAAGAAGTAGCAGCCTGGACGTGGGGGCTGAGTACTCAAAACCAAACCAAATGCACCCCTGTACGGAGGTTAACCTCTGAAGATCACAAGGCCAGGGGCAGAGCTTTGCCCCTGACCAGCTGGACATCTTTAGACAAGTTATTTCCCTTCTCTGTGCCTTTACTTTCTCACCTGGGAAGTGGCAGCTTGGGTAATCATGGAGCTGTCCTCCAGACCAACAGTCCATGGTGTTGTGTTCATGGAGCAGTCATTAGATGAAGGGGAGTCGAGGCTTGTATGTGGGTTTGTCACAGGGAGGCTGGAGAAGAGCTGGGACGGCCATCTGGAAGGCTCCTCCACACTCCTCTTCCCCCAGGACCTCATCAGTGTTGTCTGAGACTCACTGGGCAGCCCAGACCTCTCCATGCATTACCGTGACATTTAGAGAAAATTGTTCATTTCCAAAGATTTAAGTGCACTTAAAGCTAATGTGGGTGGCTTTTTAACAGGGACCGGTGGCTATCCTGGAGCAGAGGAATGGCTGGGAATAACCCTGGAGACCAACAGGTAGTTTGGAGGCCTGAGTGTTTACTGCTGTGGACAAGGGATGCTGCCTGCATCTTCCTGTCCCACAAATGCATCCTTCCTGTTTCTGGGCAAGCTCAGGAAGATAGGATCCAGTCCTTTGATGGACAAACAACAAGAAGCATGCCAGGCTCTTGGGGAACACCCTAAAAGAAAGAACATGGAGGTGGCTTCGAAGGTGACAGGCCTGGTTTTGAGACATAGAGCCTGAGGAATGCTCAGAGCTGACTTGGGGACCTCTGGGTCAGCTGTCTGTGACCTGGCCACATGGTGGTTTGCAAAGCCCATTGACCTCCCAGCTTCACATAGCCATGACTTTCAATGTCCTTCAAGGTACCCAGGAAGACAACAGTTTCAAAGTAACAGGAACAGACAGTGGACAGTGACCCCCTGCCCCATCCCCGAGGGTGGTCACTGCCTCCTGGTCCAAGGCTTTGAATCTTCAAAGCCTTTTCTTTAATGAAAAGAAATGTAATTTATTTGTCAAATCCAAAGTGATGGTGCAGTCTGCTCAGCACAGCTCCCTCGCCTGGGGCAGAGCTGCCTGGGCATAGCTTGCGCATGCCTAATTAGGTTTATATGTACGGAGTGTGTGAGACTGTGTTTATACCAGGCCTTGCGAGTGCATGTGTGCTCCCTTGTCAGCCAAGTCTGTTTGCAGCATGCACACACACACATATGTGTTATATGCTTGGCCTACATCTATATGCCCGCATGTGTGCACTCTGCTGGGTGATCCTAGGTGAAGTGCATGGATGGAGCATCCTCAAGACGCAGGGCTGGCATGGGCAGACGTGATGCGCAGAGAGCCAGGGGAAGCATCTTTTACAGTGGAGGCTAGGCCTTAGGCATGGAGTCAGCAAAATCGCATGCCTGCCAGGATCTCACCTTGCCAGTGTCTCTGGGGGCATCAAGACACCGTGCTCTCTCTGCCCTTAATCTGTGCTCAAGATCTCACTTCAGAGCCTCCCCGCCCTTCAGCCCTTCTACTGTTCCTAGGATGATTCTTCTGAGCAGCAGCTGCCAGGCTGACTGGCTAGCTAGGCAGAGGAGAGGAAGAAGACGTGGATGTGGGGCGCCTTGGGCACTCTGGGCAGGGAGGGGCAAAGGAAACAACAGCCTACCCATTAGCTCTCTTAGGGAATAGAGGGACAAAGAGTGGCAGCCAGTGCCCCTGGCACACAACCCCAACATCTGGTTGCCCCCAACTGACGTAAATGCTGCATCTGGAAATCCGTTCTGGATGAGGACCTGGGGACGAAGAGCGCAGGATGAAGGGGAGCTTAAACATCAGGGCAGGTCTCACTCCCCAGAGGAACCTACATTCCCATTCCACAAGACTCTTGGGAAATACATATTGCAGGCTGGGAAGCTTGGGCTGTGGAAGGATGGGAGCCGAGCCATTGAGACCACAGGCTGATAAGCCTGGAAGAATGTGTTGCATAGAACAGGGGAAGGGTGCGGAATCCAGAAAGGAAGCTACCCAGAGAGGATGGTCATCTGCGAGAGTTGCTGTTGGAGGCAGGTGAGAATGGGTCAGTGACTGTGCTTGCCCAGCAGGCCTGGAGACCTGAGTCCCATCTGTGGAGCTCAGGTAGATGCGAAGGAGTGAGCCAACTCCACAGCGTTGTCCTCTGACCTCCACATGTGACCCTGTGGCATGCACCTCCTGCCCGTTGTGAGAACTTTTTTAAAGCATCAGATATGGTAACACATGCCTGTAAGCCCAGCCTTAGAGAAGTGGAGGCATGAGGATTACACGTTTGAGGTCTGCCTGAGTGACAAAGCAAAACCTTGTTTCAAAATAAGGTAATAAAAGTAAAATACAATAACCCCCAAGCTAGAGTGGGCGAGGCCTAGGCGTGTCCAGTCTCCGGAAGCTTCTCCCGGCTCTATGCATCGTCCTTTCTTTCTCGGGGCTGCTTGGTTCTCTCCAGCCCAGCTAGCCAGCTCTCCCGTGGCTCCAGAGGTCTGAGCTGGACTCCGACCCCTCCCCCCCCACACCCCCTCCGTCTGACTCCTGTCTCTCCCTGTGATCGCAGTGGAACCTTTCGAAGCTCCCTCCCCCAGGCTAGGCAGCTGCTAAGTGCCTCCCACTGGCTTGCGTAGCTTCCCTTTCTGGGGAGCCCAGCATTGAGCTTCTACGGATTGTTAAAAAACAGCCTGTAATTAATATTCTGGGCTGGTGGTTGCAGGTACCTTAGGACTCCCGGAGCTGGAGATCCCCTGGCTGCCCCTCCCATTCTTTCTCCCAGCCTACCTTTCGGCATCTGTCTGCTCTCTTCCCGTTATCTCCTGTTCATCCTTCAGGATCTCAGACTCCGAGTCTCCTGGCTGCTCCTCCAGGCTGCAGCTCCCTCTGAGGCCTTCATTGTTCCGTGTTTTTGTGTTGCCTGTCTCTCCTCTGGAGTCAGCCTGCCTCTTTCTATCCAAGTACTCTGATCTTCCCTTCAGTGACTCCTCTGGTTGTCTGTCTCCCTTACCCTCTGTCAGCCTGTCTCCCTCCTCTCTCTCACTGTACTTCACCCCACCCCTCCCTGCTGATGGGGAATGTGCAAATAAATGAAAAAGGCCAAACCCGTGTGCCTAGCTGTATAAAGGAACCCTACAACCCCAGGAGCCTGGCTGCGGGGACTGTGTGGAACAAAAGATCTCTAATTACTGCTCTCCAGTGCTAAGCCTTTGCTCTAATATGAAAAGAGGGGTGGGAGAGGGGCAGGGAGAGAAAGGATGGGGGGTGGAGGGTGGGAGAGAGGGATGGAGGGAGGGAGGGAGGGAGGGAGGGAGGGAGGGAGGGAGGGAAGGAGGGAGGCAGAGATATCTAGGTAAGAGAGGCACAGGACCTCTGGAACCTGGTGCTGGAGGTACATAGGCTGTGACTGGTGCTAAGGACACTGGACATTTTCTCATCCACGGATTGCTCATTTTACTCCAGGATCTGAATTGCTTGTCCAGCTGGCTCTCTCTGTAGGCCAGCTCCAAATGAGAGCCTCCTTGCCCCAAGGCAAAAGCCCAGTCTTAGCCTCGTAGTTCCCCAGGCCACAGGTCTGTCACAGACAGGGGTCCGTGAGATCACCCTTACAGGCCTGAGAGGGATCCCACATTCTCTTCTTATCTCAGCTGGAATCTGTAAGGGTGGTCTCACTGACCCCTCCTTCAACGAATCATGGGTTGCCAGGGTCCAGGCTATGAGGAAGGGACTCTCCAAACATAACCCCCCATTTCATGTTTATAAAGACCACCTCAGAGGTATGAGGACATCAGGGTGATGGTAGGGTTTATGAACCAGCTTGACTGGGCTAAGGGAGCCCAGACAACAGGTAAAGCATCTTGGGTGTGTGTGGGCGAGCATGTCACCTGCATGGGTAAAGCTGGTAAAGAAGAGCCCCTCTGGTGCTAAGGAGCTCAGTGGGGAAGAGCACCTGCTGTTCTTGCAGAGGACTAGAGTTCGGTTCCCAGCACCCCTACAAAGCAGCTCACAACTGCCTGTGACTCCAGCTGCAAGGGATCAGATGCCTTCTGGCCTCCACAGGCATCACCCCCCCCACACACACACACATAAAAATAAATCTTAAAAAAAAGAACCCCCTCCTCAGCAATGTGAGCAAACCTGAATTGGTCCACAGAGGCCTTGAATAAATGGGATGGTCATGGAGGAGGGAGAATTTGCTCTTGGCTACAGCTGAATCCCATCTTCTTCTGCACTCAGACATCAGGGCTCCTCATTCTAGGGCTCAGGACTCAGACAGGACCAACACCATGGCATCCTTTGCATCTTTAGCCTTCAGACTACAGTAGGACACCAAGGCAGATCATAGGCTATTTTGGCCTCCATGATCATGTGAACCAATTCCCATGGTAGATCTAAATCTATATTGTCTGTATAATCGTTATCTATACCATCCACGGCACTGATACCTACCTACATCATTGATAGCTGTATCATTTATAGCACTGATATCTATGTAATCTATACCATTTATATATATCATCTCTCATCTATGACATATACATCATTTATATCTACATATATGTTTATATCATCTATAACTATATATATATAATCTGTACCAATGACTTCTATACCATCTCTATATCTATATCATCTATATCTGTGTTATCTATGTCATTGATATCTACTTCTATATCATCAATATCTATATCATCCATAGCACTGATATATATATAATCTAACATATGTCACCTACATCATCTGTATCTATATAATTTATATCCTCTGTGTCATCTACATCATCTATATCTACACTATTTATATAATTTATAGCTATGTATATACAATCTGTACCAATAATATCCATACCATCTCTATGTTTATAACCTCCATATCATCTGCCATCTGCGTCATCTATACCTGGGTCCTCTGTGTCTCTATGCATCATTTGTATCTACATCTGTATATCCTCTATGTCTTCATCTTCATCGTGTCTATCTATACCATCTCTATCTACATCTTTCTCCCAGTTCAGGTTCTCTGGGGAACCCTCACTAATATACTAGCATAGAGCTGAGAGTCAGAAGTCCAGAGGTCTAATACAGCTTCCCATATGTAACAGTTTGTGACTTTAGGAAAATTATTTAATATCTTAGAAGCTCATTTTCTCAGTCTACAAAGTTTGGGCTCATAAATAACTACCTTACTGGTAACTCCCACAGGGCTCTGCTCCTTAGGAACAAGTTTATAAGTGATAATTGCGATGAGTAACCTGTCTCGGACATCAGGATCACTTCTGAGTTTATCCAGGAGACTTGAGTGAAGGCCAGCAGTCCATCATGGCCCACTTACGTCACATTCTGAATGAAATGCAGAATGGGGTGCTTTCCAGGAGACAGCTCTGAGACTATGTGCTATGTTGCTGCCTGTGGGTTCCAAGGACTGACCTGAGGCACCACATTTACCATCCTGGGCACTCCCCTGGGCAGATCCTCTTCTTCCCTGGCCCCTATTCCAGGCCCCTGCTAATGTATTCAGTGTCTCCCAAGGGAGCTGCTTGGGTCTGTATCCTTGCTGTAGGGCCTGCTTCTGCAGAACCCAGGCAGAAAGCAAGGTACTGCAAGGACTTTGGGTCTCAGGATGCTCGCCTCCCAATGTGACTTGGATGATGCTCTTTCATTCAAGCTAATCCCTGCTCTACAAAATGGTACTGCTGTGATTTCCTTTCATTCCCACCCTCAGGTCTGGGTGATGTTGACATCAAATGAGATAATGCAAGAGAAAAAAAAAGCAGACCATGGTGGCTGTGTGGATGTGTTAGGTCCCATTATCCTTAATATTTGGTTTTGTTCATTCAACTCTTGCCTTCAAAAGGCTGTTTTGGGAGGAGATGTCTGGGTGTCATAACTAGCACAGACTCGTTGGGGCCCCTTTTGAATCCTGCATATGCCATTCCCACTGGGCACTGAGGGCTCCTGCTTCTTTTCACCTTTTCCTCCCACTGTGAAGTTATTTAAAGTGCTCTTATTACCAGCTTTGGGGCTGCTCCCAAGGGGCTTCTCAGCTACTTTTCTCTGGATGTCTGACTTGAAGTAGATGGCACCCTTTTTTCTTGTAATAAATAATGAATAATAAAATGTAAATATATGACATAAATTATATACATTTAGGTAACGCCTTTCTCTTTACAAGACTTCTTCCTTTCTGCATTCTAGTCACGCAGAGATTTTTTTCCCTTCCTTTCCCGAAGCCCATCTTTTGATCCATAGCACACATTTTTTTTGTTACTAACTTTCAATAAGGATTCTCTTTCTTTTTTCAACAGTCTATAGGCTTCTTATGCTTTCATTTTAAAAAAACTTTTCTTTAACATTCCTCCTGATCTTTCCCCCTTGAACACATACTTATTTTCTCCATTTCTGTCTTCAAGAGGTAAGCAACCCCAAAATAGGTATTTTTGACTTTCCCACCAGGGTGTAAACTTCAAGATCTGAGGTCCAAAGAAGGCTGGGTTTCGCCCACAGACGTGTTCCGCCCAGCCCCAGGCCCTTGTTTCCAAAGGGACCCAGCCCACTTCCTGGCACAGAACACAGCAAGCTGGTGTCTGTGGCTGCCATCCCTTATCTCTGTCACCACTGGGGACTCACTACACGGTGCCACTTTATCACTTGCACCAGCCGTCTGGCCTGGCTGCACCTCATCCTTAATTAATTACACCCCCTGCCACAAAGAGCCATCTCTCCCCTGACTGCAGCCTTCAAGCCCCGTCAGATGAAGACGCGAAAGACTTTCATCTCTCCTGACACCTCCTCTCTCTCTGTGTCATTTTCCTCTCCTGGCCAACCTCAGGTCCCTTTGTGCGCCTGCCTGGGCTCCTGGTCCACAGCCATCACACAGCCTGCAGTCTTGAGGACATTCAAGGTCCAAGAAGCAAGCTGCAGAGCCCATGGGAGGGAGGGACATGATGGGGAGGCCAAGGTTGGGGTCTGAGGACGCCCCAGAGGCCGGTGTTCAAAAATGCTCCAGGACTAGGGAGACAGCTCAGTTGGTAAAGTACTTGTCTTTCAAACAAAAGAACCTGAGTTTGATCCCCAGAATCCACATCAAACCTGAGTGTGGTGGCACGTGCTTACAATCCAGCACCGGGGAAGTGAAGATAGATTGGTCCTTGGTCCTCAAGACTAGCTGGCCTTGCCCACTTGGTGAGAATCAGGCCAGTGAGAGGCTCTGTCTTAACAAACAAACGAGGTAGAAGATACATACCTGAGAAAGGACAGCCAAAGTTAACCTCTGGCCTCCACATGTATGCACACGGACACACACGCCTACACCTCATGTCTCACATGTATGCACATGGGCACACGCCTACAACTTGTGTCTCACATGTATGCACAGACACACGCCTACACCTCATGTCTCACACGTATGCACATGGGCACACACGCCTACACCTCATGTCTCACCAACAGATACAATAACAAGCCCATAGGAATATAAGCAGTGCCGTGCTTTCTGGGTTAACACTCAGGTCTGCAAAGGAAATCAGGTCCCTCAGCACGACAGTGCTGAGCTCCACAAACAGTGACACAGACGATGATACAAGGGGGCTGAGCCTTGCAAACAGCCCGTGTGGCACATGGGGTGTGCACCCAGGCCAGGGTTGCACTGGGCGCTCAGACCCCGGATCCTACAGTGACCATTCCCTCCCCCCCCCCCCCCATGCCTGTATCACTCTGTCTGTCTTCTTCATCTCTCCTTAAACACAGGGCAGGATAGAAAGCCTGGCTGAGTGAGGGCAGTGTGTGTTTGGGGTGGAGGGTGGGAACATGTCATGGAACCCCCAAAGCCTGTCACTGGCTCCCCGTGTGGATTCCTCACCTTGATATTCAGTTAGGGAGTGTGTTCAGGGGAAAACAAAACGTGACCTTCCTCCCAACTGCCTCAATGGCTGGGTATTGTCTCTATTTTTGGCTCTCTCACTAGCGTGTTGAACACTTCAAGATCTGAGGTCCAGAGAAGCCTGAGCTTTTCCCACAGACATGTTCTGCTCAGGCACCCTATCCACTTCCTGGCACAATCTCTCTCTCTCTCTCTCTCTCTCTCTCTCTCTCTCTCTCTCTCTGTGAGTGTGTATGTATGTGTCTGTGTGTATGTGCGTGTGTATGGGTGTGTGTGTATGTGTGTATGTGTGTATGGGTGTGTGTAT